TTTCAAGAAAAGACACTCAACACCCTTAATTACTATTGTTGTTATGCACCATTGAGTTGACTACAACAGATAGAGACCCTATGAACAGTGGATCTGAAAGCTACCCTATCGTGTGCCATCCTCACCACCTCTGACATCCTTGACCTCACTGTGACAGTCACTACATCAATCCATTTTGTTGACAGTCTTCCTCTCTTCTGCTGACCCTCCAGCTTTCCAAGCATCATGTCCCTTTCAAAGGATTGGCCCCTCTCAAAAACATGCCCCAAGTCTGTGAGATGAAGACACTTCAGCATTCTTGCCTTCAAAGAGCAGCACCCTGGTGGCACTTTCTCCCAGACATATTTATTTGCCCTTTTGATAGTCCATGGGACATTCAGCACTCTTCTCCAAAACCGCAATTCAAAGACGTTGATTCTTCTTCTGTTATCCTTAGTCACTGTCCAACTTTCAGATGCATAGCAAGTAATTGATATAGACCATAACTTGGATCAGGACAACAACAACAAAATAAAGACAATATACACTTTTCTAGTGTTTGTTTTATGCACTGTCAAAGGAAGCACATCTTTTCTAGTGATTGAATAGACAGCTTTCAGTCATTGCCTCCCCCCCCATGATGTACTTTTCCCCCCATTTATTTCTAAAAATTTTTTATATTGGTTTGATACAAAATTCATATACATTGTTTCATTCATGTACAGTGTGTCTCATACATTCCTTCATTCACATTGTATTTCATACTATTGTATGTAACATCTACATTGGAATGTGTTTCTGTACATTTTTTTTTTGTAAAATTAATCACCATTGATGATGCCCTCTATCACCCTATGTTGATGCATAGAAATGATCCCAAAGGCCAATATTTCACGGCTACTGGTCCAGATTCTCCCTCCCAGCTGCAGGTGATAATGTACAAAGTCTTTGACCCACTGTTGGTTTAGGGAAACAATGTCCCTGCTTTCTCTCCTGAATTGAAGGTATTTCTAGTATTTTGCTGTCAGGAACCCTCTTTTTCTTCCTGAAAAGTGTCCAGTCCTTGAGGAAACAATGTTTTCTGAAGACATCGGCCATCTCCTCCCCTCCTCTCCAGCAGCCCTGGCCACATCACCTCCTGCCTTGGGCCTTGTAACTGTGTTCCCAGAGGACTTGGTTTGGGAATCACCACACTCTCCCCACTTCCTTTACCTAGGCAGGTGTACATCCTACATGTGGGCAACAGAAGGTTAATCACATCATGACGTGACATTTCTGTCCCAGGGCCCCTCATGTACTTCTCAAGGTCCTAGGTTGAAGGAGACTCAGGGAGGCAGTTGGCTCTCAGCATTCTAAAGGCCTACACCCTAACGGTGATGATTCTAATGAGTCCTCCACTCCTTCCTTCAGGAGACCAGTTCTTCGCTGGAGGAGCCCAACTGCCTCTCTTCATTGAGAATCAGTCCTGCCTTTGTTTACATTACCATTGATATGTATTTGACAAACAACAAAGCTTTGAACTGCAGGATTGTTTTGTCCTAGCTAGAAAAGGACTCCAAGGAAAGGTCAGTATTTAGGAGCCCTGAGCAGCTTTGTAAGGACTACCAGAAAGGAAAGCCAACAAGGTGCTGACTAGCCTGGGGATGGGTTAGTTAAGATTTAAGGGATTTGGGGGCCGGAGGAGAAAGGATACAGGAGATTTCAATCCTCTGCAGTGATATTTACCTTGAGGTGGTGGTTGTGTACCATTGAGTCAGAAACAACTCATAGATGACCCTCTAGTGGGTTTTCAGAGGTAGGACATCACACAGGAGGAGATTGCCCATCTTCCTCCCAGCGAGCAGCTTGTGAATTTGAACCTTTGGGTTGACAATACAACTCGTTTGCACTAACGCCACCTGAACTCCCAAACTGGGCTTAGTCAACCCTTAAGAAGTGGCGTGAGCAGAAAGAACCTCTTGAAAGACACGCTGAGAGTGACTGGGGTAGATCATTCACTGTCGTTTTTATGGACCATTGTGTAGGAACTGACCCATAGCTGACCCTCCAGCGACTTTTCAGTGTCAGTAAATCATGTGGGAGGAGATTGCCTGTTTTTTCTCCCACACTGATTTTCTCCCCATAGCTGATTAATTTGAACCATGAACCTTTGTGTTGGCAGCTTAATATCTTACTGCCAGACATCCCTGAATCGATCATTCTTTACTAATTTCCAGTGTCCAGAAAGGAAAGAAAATCCTTCTAAACCAAGCTACCATGTAACTGATTACTACAAACAAAGCAGATAAAAACAACACATGTTTAAGATCTCACAGGTTCTCTCTTCAGGAATTCAGGCATGACCCCGCTGGAGGGCTTAGCTCACGTTCTTATGTACTCAGGCTCTGGCCTGGCTGCATTCCTTTCTGGAGCTTGGGGTCTTCTTCCAAGCTTAAGTGGCTGCTGGCAGAATCGAGTTCTGAGTTACAGCACTGGAGCCCTCAACACAGTTCCTTCTTGTAGGACCGAGACCCTCAGCATGCAGAGATCTCCCGGAGTTCCTTGCCACGTGGCTCTCTGCAAAGGCAGTTAACATCAAAGCTGTTCAGAGGCACGCATCAGTCATACTGCAAGTGGGGATCCCAGACTTGGAATTAAACAGTTCAATAAAGCCAGTCGCATGAATTGTGGGGTTTCTCAGAACATATGAAAAAGTAGCCTTGGCAGTGCCATGGGTAACACACCTGAGTGCTAACAAAAGGCGGGTCATTCGAACTGACCAGCTGCTGCAAGAGCTCGAATGCTGACAGTCTTTCCCTGTAAGGGTTTGCACGCTCAGAAGCCTGAGGGAGGGTCCACTTGACTCGGACTCTACTCAACACCAGTAGGAAGTTTAGTGCATGGGAAAATTATGTTGACACTCTACTGTCTACAAAGTGTGCAATAACATTATGGAAAAGTTTGAAACACTCTGAAAATTACAAAAGTGTGACATTTCCAAATGCCTTCAGAAAAATGGTGCTGCTGAAGTTGCATAATGTGGAGTTATCACAAACTTTGGATTTATAAAAGAAGAAATAGCTCCCATATATAACAAAGGCAAGTTCAACAAAGCAAAGCATGCGTGCACTTTGCAAGGCCAACTGGAGAATCCCTCTCTCTAGGCTGTTGAGACAGTCTCATGTTAGGAAATGAGATCGTGAGGCATCTCCTGATAATGTTTACCATTTTGTGCTGTTTAGGATTCTTTGCCAGCACTGTAAATGAAAAGGCATCAATTCTTTAGTCATCCTTATTTACTGTCCAACATTCACTTGTGTATGGGGTGATTAAAAAAATACCATAACTTGATGTTGACGAAGAATGCTAAATTTACTGAACTACAATACCGTCACACCACCACATACTTGGTACCTGAAGTCAGGAGATCAGGAGACTCATCGCACAGTGAAAATGTGTAGTCAGTGACCTCTCCAAATTATCGAGGAGCAATGATGTTAGTTTGATGAGTATAAAGTGTACCTGATTCAGGCCATGATATTTTTAGTCACATGCTATACATCTGAGAACTGGACAGTGACTAAGGATGAGAGAAGCATTAATGCCTTTGGACTGTGGCATTAGAGAAGAGTACTGAAGATCCCATGGGGTGCCAAAAGAAGAAACAGGTATGTCTCAGAGAAGATACATCCAGAATGCTTCTTGGAGGGAAAAATGATGGCGTTACGTCTCACATACTTTGGGCATGTTGCTAAGAGAGTGACCTTGTGTTTGGGAAGGTGGAGGTGGTGAAAGACAAAGATCTTTGACCAGATGGGTTGACACAGTGACTGTGCCAATGAGCTTGAATGTGTCAGAGATTGGGAGAATGGCACAGGATAGGACAGGGTTCAGTTACGTTGTTCATAGGGTCTCTATGAGTTGTACTCATCTTGAAGGCCCCTAACAACAATAACAACAGCAGTAACAACATGCAGTCTTTGGAGAAGGATATCATGCGTGGAAGGATAGAAGGGCAAGTGAGGAAAGCCCTGGATGAGATGGATCGACACAGTGACTGCGGCAATGGGACCAAGCGTGTCAGTGAAGGTGGTTCGGGATAGGGCACGCTCAGAACTGCTCTTCATGGGGTCACTACGAGTCATAGTCCACTCAACGACACACAACAACCAAAAGAACAGCATGATATCTGTCATGATGTCTCAGTAAAAGACATTTCTGTTAGAAACATGCTGAGAAAGGTAGAGGACAAATGAAAGAGAGGAAGACCTTCAATGGGGTGGATCAACTCAGTGACCACAATGGGCTTGAGCACGACAGATTGTTAGGGTGGTGCAGGAGGGGACCAGGTTCAGATATGTCGATCACAGAGTCACTACGAGTTAGAGTCGACTTGGGGGCACCTAATAACAATAACAGCTATAAAACCCCAAGGAGCTCTGGTGGAAGTAGGCAAGTAACCAAAAGGAAGACTGACAGTTCGAATCCATCTGTTGCTTTGCAAGAGAAAGAGCAGGTAAGATCCCCAGCCTCAGAACTCTGAGTGACAATTGACTCATCAGCTGTGGCTGTGTGCTGCTGAGCCACTTGCAACAGTGATATGTTTTGATTTACCAAAAGAACAAATCAACTTGCTCGGAAGAAGTGCAGCCAGCATGTTCCCTAGAAGTGGGGATGTGGAGACTTCAACCCTTTCGTGACACCACTGAGAGTGATCAGTCCCTGGAGGAAGAAGACACCATGGTTGACGCAGTGTCAGTGAACAAGAAGACCTTCAGCAATACGGAATGACTCAGTAGCTACACGTAAGGACTCAAGCACAGCAGTGATTCTGAGCATGGCCAGGACTGGGAAGTGCTTTATTCTGTTATACACTCTAAGCCAGATAGCACCTCACACCTAATTAGAGCGAGTTGTAGGTTCCGCCTCCACTCGGGGAGGGAATGCTACAAGGGCATCAGTCATTGAGGGTCATCTCATGGTGTGTCCACCACATTAATATTTTATAAATCTGGCTTATTCCAAAAGGCCTTGAAGAGGCAATGGCAGAAGTAACAAGAGACTCAAACGAGGGTCCATCAGAAGAAACAGAGGACCTGGACTTGCTTGAACAAGTTGATAGAGGTGAGGAGCCCCTAACTCCTTGACGATAAGTCCTAGTCCAAACCTCAGCTTCTCTAGCTTTGGTGGAGATAGAACTCCTGGTCCAATCATACACGTGAAAATTCTTACCAAAGGGGGAGCTTGAGCCTTCTGTATCAGGGGTTGGAAGAGGACAGGGACATAGAACACCTCTGGCCATGACCATCACCATACTTCACTGGTGGTGTCTGTTTTAGGAACTCTCCAACAAGTCACAAACCTCCTGGACATCTTGGAGAGTGAGTCGGCAAAGACAGACATTGAGTTGGTGGGCCAGGACATGCGGAAGACCCTGGCTTCGGCTATAATCACGGAGAAGGCCAACAGTGAGCCCTCCATGGTGATGAATGTCCTCATCTGCTGCCTGAAGATGCCTGAGGTATGATTACTCGGTTACTGGTCCACTCTGAGCTCAGCCTCACTGGGCCGCCTGTGTGTCTACCCATTACAGAGCAGTTATCATGGTGGGCATAGGGCCAGGTCCTGGGAGATCATGAAGAGTTTAACTCAACAAAAAACCCCAGTTTGCCATCAAGTCCACCCTGACTCATGGAGATTTGTGTGCACGTTAGAATAAAACTATGCTCCATTTCTTTCTTTTAATAATTAACTTGTTATTGTTTTGAAACCTACAGAGCAGAAAATGTACCAGTTTGACAGTTCTCACATGGACAATCTCACAACAGTGATTCCATTCTTCAAATTATACAGCTATTCTCATCCTCCTGTCCTGACTTGTTTTCCACCATTAGCCTACACCCACCGCTGCTATTTTCTACGACTCTTCCCAGTTGTTCTAGTCAATGTAATCCCATGTAAATCTTAAAAAGACATAATGCTCAATACTAGTGAAACCATTTTAAACATTTACTTTAAAGGTTCTTTTCATTAAGGATTAGATGTGACCTCAGGACAACAGAACTGGGCCCTCATCCATCCTTCATGACTCTATTTTTCAAAGGCTGATTTTTAGGAAGTAGATCAAGTCTTTCTTTTCAGACACTTCCGACTAGACTTGACCTGACAAGTAAACGTGTGAACTTTGGTTAATACCTTGCTACTCTTCTTGTTCTTTGAAGGCTATTGACTTAGAATCTCTGCTAGGATTGGAGCCTGGGGATTTTGGAAATTCTGACACACAGAGTTTTGGGACCATTCATCTTGGGACCTGGGAGTTTAGTTACAAAGATGTTGAGCAAGAACCAGCCGATAGGTTGCCATGACAAGACATAGCAGGTGCAGAGACATCATGTGGCAAAGTAGTCATGTTTGGCCATCAGGGCAACTGTTCAGCCAGGGTCTGACCCTGGAAACCACAACCTGAGATCAAGAAGACCTTGTGTGAAAGGGCAGCATGAGGACCAAAGTGACCAGAGGGCTTTTAAAACAGACTTCTCTGCCTTATGCCCAGAGGGTCTGGTTCCTTAAGTCTTTGAATGGACCTGAGAATCACCATTTGAAACTAATTTCCAAGTGATGCTGATGTGGGGTCCTCATTTTAAGAACCTCTGGATTTTAGACTACCCTTTAGAACTGGGGGAGTCTCAACATTATGCAAAAATGGTTAATGTGTTTGGCTGTTCCTCAACAGGAGAGTCGTTGAATTTTACCTAGAGGTGCCTCAGAAGGAAAGCCTATGTGTTTGTTTGCCATCAAGGGATATATGATTAGGTATTATTATCATGACAGGAGTCCAGAATGAAGGCTACATAGTGGAGTGGACTTTGGGGGAGGGATTGTATAACAGTGAAAGAATTTTTCTTTTACTTTTCAAAGAGAAGAGCTAACTGGGGAGGGGGATGGTTGTGCAGGGGGAAAAATGCAACAATGAATGAATGGAAATCCAAAGTCTCTGTAAATTTTCATTAAAATTAATTAATAAAAAAGGAGGAAAAAAAAGAAGGAAAGCCTAATGACATACTTCTGAAAAAGCAGCCACTGTAAAGCATAAAGAACACAGCACTTCCCTGACACAGAGGCTCCAGGAGTTTCCATAAGGATTCTCTGCCCAGAGGTTTAGAAGTTTCTGTTCTTTGTTGTTGACAGACTAAGAATCCCCAAACAAGGCTACTTTCTGGCCACCTTTATCAGAGACCTCAAATTTTCTACTGTGACTTTACTGTCAGGAAGTGACCTTCTTGATTATCCAAAGGGACAAGACATTTCCCCAGAGGGCTTTCTGGGGCATAGTCCATTATGTACAGTTAATGCTTGTGTCTTTACAGGGACTTATCTTGCCTATTTCCATGAGTCATTCTCAAATCATGACCTTTCAGGTCCAGCCTTGGTTACACAATTAATTTGTCCAATCATGTTCAAAATGAGGTCATTTTAATGATAAGTGCTACATAGGTATCAAAATGCAGTAAGAGGCAAGTATTTTCTTATTACAGATGCCTAGTTGTGAGGGCAAAGGGCCGGGTGGACTTCCCTTTAGAGCTTTCAAGATGGTCAATGCCAAGTTTGTGGAGAATTTGTTGACACTCTGGAATTATTGGCTAGATCAGATTGGAAATGGAAGAGAGAACGAAATGGATTTATAGGCCACATTGGTCGGAATAACGGAATGAGTGGGATGGAGAGAGAGAGGGAATTGGAGACGGTGGGGCATTTTCCAAGATGAGGTATACAGAAGGATGAAACAGGAGGGAGCAGGGGCACTTGGAGCTAATGGACTGAGCAGACTCCACTGACCCAGGCTGAGTATCTTTCCATCTCTCACAATGTTTCTCAGATTTCCACTGAGCGCAAGATCAACATTTACAGCATCCTCCAGGAAATCATCCAGCAGGAAGGGGAGCTGGACGAACACTGTGTCCAGAGGCTGGTCACTATTGCCTCCAAAGAGATGAGAGAGATCCAGGAGGTAGTAGAACCCTGAGCTCCATCAGTGGCTTCTGTCCTGCTAGCCCAGGACCCGGGTCACTGAGCTTGGCCAAGGATGTGCCTGTTCAGTGGAGGAGGAGGTGGCATCGTGTAGAGGGCGTCTGTGAAGACCTCCAGCTGATAGCGGTGCCATACGTTCTTCCCCTTTGCTCCTGCAGATGGACGGCAACCTGAAGGCAGAAGTGGCTAGTGACACCTTGGTGGCTCTGTCCGGAAACCACTTCAGTTTGGTCATGTATGAGCTTCAGCATCATCTCAAGCCCCTTGAACTCACCGATGAATTTGTCATTGTCACTCTGGCCAAGCTGGCCAATGGCAATGGTAAGTGTCTCCCTGCAGTCCTCATGCCCTGGTTGCCAGCCCCACCAAACCAGTGAATTAGTGAGTTAGGTTTTGGGCTACTCACTGAAAGGTCGTTAGTTTAAATCAACCTTCAGTAAGATGAGCCCATGTTCTCCAATACAGATTTACAACCTTGTAAACCTGAAGAGGGGCCCCCTCAGGGCGATTCCACTCAGTCACAGTGGTTTTGGTTTTCCTTAAGTCAGACAAGTCCTAAGACTCCTCATGGTCTCTGAAGCTCTCTCCACTTCTGCTTCTCTCTGTCTCTCTCCCACCCTTTCTCTCTTTTCACAACTTCCTTTGTCCTGTTTTGTTTGTTTGTCTTTTTCCCTGGTGTCTTAGTGCACCATGTGGGCTGTTAACCCTAAGGCCAGTGGTTCAATTCAGCCAGGCCTACCTCAGGAGATAAAATGCATAGTCTCCTCACACAAAGATTTACAGCTTTGGAAACCCAGGAGAGGCTTACTATGGGTTGGAATGAACTCAATGTCAGTGGGTTGGATTGACATTATATTCTTGTTTGCCTCTGTCAGCTGTTAAGATTCCCTCACTGTGTGCCTCCCTCTCATTTGTATCTCTCTGTCTCTCTATTGTTTCCTTTATCTGCACCTCTTTGCATGCCCTCTATCCCCTTCTGCCTCCACTTCTCTCTTCACATTCCTTGTACTCATTCCTAATCTCCTCTTCATATCCCCCTTTCAAATCCAGATACAAGTACTAGGGGAAAGCTTTCTTCCTCTGCTTTGTCTATTTGGCCTCTCTGGGAGATCTCTGTGTGCCTTGCTGTTAATTTCCCCTTGAGTCTAAAAGGTTCACAGCACAGAGACCTTGGGTCCAAAGAAGATGTGCTCCATTCTTGGCTCTTCTTTCTTATTAGTTATCAGTTCAGCTCAGCTGTACTTTCTTCTCTCCTTTAATCTCTTGTAAGAGAAAAGGTGTTGCAGGCCACATCTCAGGGAAACTCCCTAAATATTGAATTAGGGTTATGTACAGAGTACGTATGCTTCGTCCTCCCAATCTCCTTACACTGGATCACACCATGGGAGTCATTACTTCATCACACAATTGCCACTTTACATTATTACACAATCGCCAAACCACTGAGAGTTATGGGCAAGCCAAGTTGACAAAGATGACTTAGAGGACAAGTGGAGAACTGGGAGGAAGATGCATAAGCGTGATGTGAGGGACCAGAAAGAATGACCGACCAGCTGTGTCTGGTTCTGCTGAAGAGAGGCTAAAGAAGATGATTGTTGAAGGAGTTCATGGCAGGCTAGGTATGGAGGTTTGGATGAAGTGGGCTGGAGGAAGACAGAGTGAGAAGAAGTGGAGAGAAGAGAAACAGGACAGTAGCTAAGAGGACGTGAAGACTTTGTACCAGTGGGAGTCTAGGTCTGGGTGTGTGCTGACGGCAAAGACCCAGGAAAAGGAACACATCAGTGGTGCTGGAGAGAGCGAGAGAAGGTGAGTGGGACTTCATCAGGAAGGGGTGACCCTGCCACCTTAGGAGAAAGAGTTTGTCCCCATTTCTCTTTCTTCCAAAAACTTCTTTCCTCTCATCTCTACACTGTTGTTGTTGTTGATTGCCATCAAGTCAAGCACAACTCATAGCAGCCCTATGAACAAAAGACCTGAAGCCTTTGTATAACTATCATCATTTCTTCTTTTTCTGCCCTCTTCTACTTGTCTGTTGTTTTCACCCTGAGGCTCCCTTGTTTCTTCATTTGTCCAGAGACTCAGGGATACCCATGGGAGCTGGTCATCTGTGCACGGAGGCAGGGCCTTCTCCACACTCATCCCTCCTTCACTTTCTGTCTTCATCTTCTGGGACGTGGTGTCTCCTGCTCTTCCTGGGACCTTTGGCTGCTTTTCCTGTCCTTCCCTCCCTTTCTTTTCTCTTCCTTCCTCTTTTCATCTTCCTTGTCTAGCTCCATCTTTTGCCTGATCCAAGCATCTGTGACTCCGTCCACAGAAGGATCCCCTCATGCTGGACAGTGGGAGCTGGATGTGTGGGAGCAGGAAGAAAGTGAAGACAGGGGTTTAAGGGGCTCACAGGCTAAAGAGGGGCTGTGGGGTGGCCCCCTATGTCTGCTCTCTGACCCTCTCCGCTTCCCTGCAGTGTTTGAGTTCATGCCTTACATGGGCATCACCTTGGCAACCATATTCACTATGCTGAGACTCGCCAACAAGACCAAGATACGCCAGGCCATCTGTGTGGGTAAGTGCCCAGTCTGGCCCCGGAAGGGAGGGAACTGGAGGAACACAGAACAGCAGGGGCACTGTGACTGTCCACTCAGGCTCACACACTTGTTCCCATCTCTGACCACTTGGCCAGAGTAGAGATGAGTCTATGTCTCTCCCAGGGCAAAGCCAGAGGAGGACTCAGTCCTGGTATTCCTCAGAGCTGGTTTTTCAGGTCGGAGTTCAGAAGACCAGGGAGATGCAGTGGGGAATCACCAAAAAGGGAAGCAGGGAAAATGTCCTTTCTATTAGCTTCATTTAGGCACCAAAAAGTCAGCGGTTCAAACCCACCAGCAACTCCTCTGGAGAAAGATGAAGCAGTCTGCCTCCATAAAGATTTGTGGCCTTAGAAGTCGTAAAGGCCACCCCTGCTTTATCCTTCAGGGGTTTTTTTTTGAGTCAGAATCAATTCAGTTGCAGTGGGTCTCCCATGCTGTTTAGGGGCATCTGGGTTCTCCTGCTCACCAAAAAGTGATCTCCTTGAGTTCACCCAGAGGTGCCTTGGAAGAAAGACCTGGCAATCTGTTTCTGAAAAATCTGCCATTGCAAGCCCTGTGGAGCACAGCTCTACTCTGACACGGGGCCACCGTGCCTCTTGAGAAGATTCCACGGCAACTGGCTCAGTGCTGTTTGCTGAGGTGCCACGGTTCACCTGTGGAGCACAGCTCTACTCTGACACGGGGCCACCGTGCCTCTTGAGAAGATTCCACGGCAACTGGCTCAGTGCTGTTTGCTGAGGTGCCACGGTTCAGTGCTCAGACGTTGTTTTCTGGCACAAGGGCATCCTGGATTCCATTCCCAGACAGTGCACCTCACACATAATCACCACCTGTCTGTCAGGGGGGCTCTGTGTTGCTGTGATGCTGGACAGACAGCAGGTGGTGCAGTGGCTAAAGCCTTGACTCTGAACCTACCCAAAAGGCAGCTAGTTAGAACTCTTGAGCTGCCCTTTGAAAGAAGCATGTGGCTGGCTGCTCCCATAAACATCTGCCGCCTTGGAGCCCACTGGGCAGTCTTCCCAGGCCCTACGGGGTTGCTAGGAGACAGAACAGACTCTATAGACTATTACAGTGAACTTTTGGTGTGATGCTGGGTGGAGCTCTCAGACTGAGACAGATGAGGAAGAAAGACCTGGTGATCTGCTTGTGAAAATCAGCCCATGAAAATCCCATTGATTAGATGACCCCATAGACAAGCTACCACGGGGTTGGCATGGAGTTGGGCAGCTTTGTTTTTCCTGTGTACGGAGTTGGGCGAATTCAGTGGCAGCTGACAGCATCACGCTATTTAGATCTGAATCCCTCATCGAGGGTTTACTGGCTTAGTATGTTGTGGGGTGACACTGGAAAGATCCCTGATACCTGAGGGGAAAAAGAAAAAGACAATAGCAATACAACACAAACCTCAGAAGTTTGCTGCCCTGAGCACCTGGGAAGTTTTCCAGGCCCCACCTTGACCCTGCACCAGGAATTCGAGGCAGGAGGTGCGGAAACCTGTGTGCTTAATCCATGTCCTCAGGGGTTTTTACAGACACACGGAGTCATAGGACAGAAGTGGGGGGAGCGTGGCGGGGTGAGAAGGCACACGGCTGTCCTGTCCCGGGAGAGGTGGCCGGTCAGCATCCATCTGCTTCCTCCCTCGGTGGCCGGCGGCTCCTCTGGGTGGCTCCTCCGGACGGCAGCCATGGAGACCTTCTGTGAGGTGGTGCAGTTCTACCTGAGACACTTGGAGGACAGCGTGTACCCCGTGATGACTGAGGAGCAGTTTGCTGCGAAGCTCTTCCCCATGTACCGCTACTTCATGACCGTGTGGCTGAAGGACAACAACCCCGAGGTAAGATGGGCTGCTCGGGGGCAAGGGGGTTCAGCTCCCCCAGGCCATGGTGCCCCGGGGCTCACAGGGCTGTGCAGAGCCCACTCCAGTCCCAGCAGCCTAAGACAGTAGGGACCTTATCAGTGATAGGGCGAGGATGTGACAGAAAGGAATTTTGTTGGTGCCACGGGCTCAGTAATGTCAAGAAAATGTCTCAGGGCAGCTGTTATGAAAGAGTGTAGCTTAGCTACGTGAGTTCCATGATGTGGGACCAGGTCCTGAGGGTCCTAGGGCATCAGGTAGAGGCCAGGTGCTCTGCCTAGTGGTTTACCTACATGAGTGAGCCCCAGGATGCAAGGCTGGGGTTTTAGGGCCCCTTGTCTAGACCAGTCTGCTAGTCACCTTAGCTATGTGAGCTCCGCAGTGCAGGACCAGGGTTCTAGGACACCTGCTCCAGATCAGGTGCTCTTCCAATCAGCTTGTCCACATCAGCTCTGCAATCAAGCCTACTCAGTCAGCGCCCTTCACAAGTGGGTGAACCGAGACCCAGTGCCTTTGTTTCCAGCAGCTTCAATTACAAACCACCCTGAGGACAAGGCTTTAGACACCGAAGTGTGTCCTGTCACTATTCTGGAGGCCAGGATTGTGCACAGGGGGTGGCTCTTGGGGAAAGACCTGTCCTGTCTCTTCCTGTGTCCGGCAGCCCTCAGCCTTCTCGACGCGTTGATGGAGCCTCACCTGATTGCTCCCCTATTTCGGGCTCTGTCCCTCTTCTCTAAAATATCACTTGAAAGGATGGAGATTAAGAGCCATTCTGCTCCAGGACCAACTTACTTAGTTTAACTGACAGCAAAACAAAAACAAACCAACCTGAGTCCATTGGCACCAAGTCAATTCCAGCCCATAGCGACCCTGTGGCAGAGCGTAAAGCCTCCCCAGAGAGTTCCCAAGACAGTAAATCAGCAGCAGCAGAGAAGCAGCTGGTGGATTCAAACAGCTGACCTTTCACAGCAGCTTTAACCACTGTGCCTTCAGGACTCCTCCTGATAACAAAAGAAAACCCCTGTTTCCAAACATACGCTTCAGCATATTATTATAGGAGATTAGGACTTGAACATATAATTTTATTTATTTTTAAATTTTTTAAATTGCTATTTTAACAAAAGTTTGCAGAAAACTTGGATTTCCATTCATTCATTGTTGCACATTTTCCTCCCTACCCCCCTGCCCAGTTCGCTTTCCTCTTTAAAAAGGGTTTTTCATTGTTGCACAGTTTCCTCCCTCCCCCAACTCCCCGTCCACTTTGCTGTGCACTTCTCATTCTGCATTGTTGTCATGCAAATAATACCTGATTATATATTCCTATGAAACAGTTCTTTCCCTCATATGTTTCAATGCAGTGTTCATTAGTAACCCCCTCTTTTCTCAGACTCCCCCCAACCCTAATGTCAGTCTTGTTTTATAACAGTGGCATTATGTAGTATTTGACCTTTAGTGACTGAGATATTTCACTCAGCATAATGTCCTCATGGTCACCCATTTTGTATAGTATTTTATGAGTTCCTTGTTTTTCAGTGCTGCGTAGTATTCCATTGTGTGAATATACCTTCTCTATCCATTTGTTTGTTCATGGGCATTTGGGTTGTTTCAATCTCTTTGCTATCATGAACAATACAGCGATAAACATGTATCTGTTGGGATGGCAGGAGCATATCATTTTAGGAGATTCCATTCAACCCAAGGGCTGAGCCCTCACCTGCAGTCACTGGGCAGTGAGTGAGTGCTGGACGCCTGCCTCTGAGGCTTCAGGCAGAACTCACCTCTACTTCTGAGCCCCTTTTCTGTAACATGGGTCAGGCAGAGAGCAGCAGTCTGGCTGCGGGTCCCAGGAGGTGACTCTGATGGTCCCATGTCCTGGTAGGTCAAGCTTGGGGTCATCAAGTCCCTGAAGCCCATGCTGAACCTCCTCTTGCCCAACAATGACCTTCGGGAGCAAGTGTATGACTATATCCCCCTCCTGCTGGCCGAGTACCAGAGCAGCGTGGAGGCCCTGTTCATCACTCAGGTGAGAGGGGCCCCCAGAGGACAGGGTCGCTCAAGGGAGCAGGCCATGCAGGTGAACGGGGCTACCCAGGTGAGTGGGGATTAAACAGGAGAGGGCCCATCCAGGTGAGAGGGTCCATCCAGGTGAGAGCCCCCTCCCAAGTGAGCGGGCCCCCCCCAGGTGAGCGGGCTAACCCGGAGGAGAGCCCCCACCCCCCCACCCCCCAGGTATGAGAGGAGCCACCCACGTGAGCGGGTGCCGTCATCCAGGTGAGAGTAAACCATCTGGTTGAGAGGGATGGTCTTCCCGAGCCCCAGGTCCTAGGCTGCCTCCTTCACATTCTGGGCTGAACTTTGGGGCTCTGAGCCACCTCAGTGTGGTCCCAAGTTAGTGTCCTCCACGTATAGTGAGTGTCACAGCTATTTTGGCATCTTGTGGGCAGACCTTGAGGGGCTGTGTGGAACGGACAGGTTCCTGAAGGCCTCGGAGGCCTTGGGGGGTGGAGCTGCTGAAGGGACTAAGCTTACCCATCATGAGAAGATTCTCAGCAACCCTTATCCTCAGAGGAGGCACAGTCCTCGTCTGTTAAAGTAGGGTGTGGAGTGACTTCTTTGATGCAGGTGCCATCTGGGATGTGCCCAGGCAGCAAGAGAGGAAGCTGGGAGCGCTCTTCATGGCCTGCTCCAGCCTCACTGTGCTTAGAACGCAGAGACCAATTCAGATGAAGGTTCAGTTAGTGGGGCCCAGCGTCAGACAGGGCCTTGGGGACGCTGGAACTGCCAGGCCATGTGAGGAGCCAGAACGGGCCCTGGACTCCAGTGACGGAGGGGGGGCCCTGGACTCCAGTGAGGGGGGGCCCTGGACTCCA